ATGTATCATGAGGTGAAAAAACAGACTTCATTTTACATTGAGGAAAAATATGATGTATAATCATCAAAACAAACTTCAGAAATTTAGGAACAACATATATTTCAAAATCCTATCTTTAACACACACGCATTCATATATATATATACAGTATACATGTGTGTAGGTATATATACAAAATAATAACCTTACTGTTAACAGTGCTTATTTAGTGGGGGATGTGGATTACCATTTAAATTCTTCACAATGAGCATATATTGTACGAAAAAACGGTGGAGTTTTTAAAGATTTTCTTTAAGCTGCCCTCCAGTAATGCTGGGCTTGTTTCCACCACCCGGGCCAGTAAGTAACCCTTGGGGCTCCAAGTGTCATCTTCGGCCATCAACAGAGGCATCTCCTGGGAAGTCAGACACCCAGACTCTCAAGAACCACCCTACCCCTGCATTTTAACAAGACATCAGTAGGTGACCGTGCATCTGAGAAGCTCTCTGTGAGAACAGACCCCTTCCCCTCCTGGGGTCTCAATTCTTCCCGACTCAAAAGGGACAGTGGCCGAGGGATCTCAATGTGGTTCCTCCCAGTTGCAATTTTCAAACTCATTTCTGTTGGTTATCTGCCTGAGTCCCTTACAAAAAGGCACTTGATCAGACCAAAGGATGGGTGGCCTGGTTAAAGCAGCCTCACGCTGCAAGTCAGGAGCGATGCTCAGGGGATGGGGGACAAAAGACTGAGTGAGATTCCTGCTGGTGCTGGGGCAGGAAGGCACCTGTGATCTGGAGCAGAAGGAAAGGCCCGGGTCAGTAACAGAGCAGCAGGAGGAGTTGCGAGGTGCCTTATGGGAGGTGCTACCGAGACCCAGGGGAATGCAAGGTGCTGGGTGGCCTCCGGGCGGCAGCAGGTCCTCGCTTTGCCACCTAGAACGGCTCAGGACCAGCCCAGCTGGGGCGCAGAGCTTGCTTCGGGACGGCAGGTGGCGCTGCGGAGTCGTGGCCTGCTCTGGGCTGGTCGCCAGTTCTCGGCGGGCTCGGGAACACACCTGGGCAGGTAGGAGGGGACAGAACCTGAGGGGGCTGGGCTCTAGAGGCGGGGCCCAGGCCCTCCCACAAGAGCCCTGGGGCGCGCCAACTGGGGATGCTTGCCTGGTGAGGAGAGCAGAAAAGGAGCGTACCCGGATGGTGCACACGCGAACCCCCATCCTTCGGAGCTGAGAGGTGAGCTAGCCGGGCTGGGTCGGACCGGCAAGGGTTTCAGGCACCAGAGTGCCGCGGTACGCGGTGGCCTCCCGGACGCGCGGATCGCCCGGTGGGTCGGTAGCCCTGCCGGCATCACTGCGGCTGCTAGCCGGTGACCAGGATGCAGGGACACTTTCCCGGGGCGATCGATGCAGCTCTCTTGTCTATTCGCGCAGTGGCTCTGGTCACAGGGCTGGGCGATGGTCATTCCTGAGCTACCCTCCCCCGACCCCCCTTCCCCGCCTCGGTGAAGCGCGTGGACTGGACCGTGGCTGCTCCTTTTACGCTCTGGAATGCTTTCTTTGGAGGTGGACTCTTGTTGCAGAAAGAAGCAAACACTTGAAGCGGGCTGGCTGCTCTCTTGGGCGGGCAGACTCGGCCTGAGCTGTCCTGCAGCAGCCGGGGGACAGAGGGGGCTTTGGCCACAGGACAGCGCCCAGTCGCTCCGCGCAAGGGCGGGCAGGACTTGCAGCGGCTCCCACGAGGAGCTCGGGACCGGTCCGAGGCTCAAGGGATCTCCATGCAGCAGGGGCGCGCATCAGCTTAGGTCCCTGGTCGCTTCCAAGTTCTGCGACCAACCCTGCCCAAGACATGGAGCAAATTTCTCACCCCTCCCCAGGTTCCTTCACTGTGACATGGGGAATAGGAGAGCTTAGTGGTAGTCCGGGGTGTGCATTCGGGACTTGCTCTCATGAATCAGGACCCTGGAATTTTTTTTTTTTTTTTTGGGGGGGATCCTTGCAATCCTTCCTACCTTTGTGACCTAAGGCAGATTATCTTACCTCTCTACACCTCTGTTTCCTCCTCTGTGAAATGGGGATCTATCATATCTCATATAATTTGTAGTGAGAATTTAATTAGGTAATATGTAAAAAGAACTAAGTAGGGTGCCGGGACACAGTTAGGGATTGATAAATGACAGTCATTATTTTCTACTGCCACTGTCACTGTCATTTCAGGAGCAGTAGAGCAGGTAGATAAAAATAGGGACTCCTGGATTCAAATCCCAGCTCAGCCACTTTCTAATGTGACATTGGGCAAGCTACTTAACCTTGGTGTCTCCGTTTCATTTGTATCATGGGGGAAAATTCTGATTCCTACCGGAGAAGATTGTTGTGAAAATTGAATGAGGTAATACCTGTAAAGCACTTTGAAGGGCGTCTGCAGCTAATTCTTCCTCAAAGGTGACACAATCCAGTAGTAGCTCCAAAGTTGTTTTGCCTTGAACTTGAAATATTTGTGGGAGCATTGGTGGGGCTCCTCTGCTCTGCTGGGGTCAGGGTCAGGCCCAGGGAAGGGACTGATGAGCAGAGGGACCCTAGGTATTGTCTTTAGTGGGAAGAATGAGATGGGGGACAGAAGTTTCCAGAATCACAGCTTCTGGCAAACATTTGCAGAGTAGGAAATTTCTCCTGGGCTGCAGCATTATTTAGCAGGACATTGAACCTGGGCCTCGATTTAAAAAACAATTGTTACATTCTTTCTTTTTTGGTTTGGGATTGCTGTACAGGAAAAGGTGAGGATGAGTAATATTGAAAATTATAAAATAAGTGATGCTACAAGCCCAGAGGCTGAGGCAGAAGGATCATAGGTTCAAGGTGAGCCTCACCAACTTCATGGAACCCTGTCTCAAAATAAAATAAAGTAAAAAAGGGGGCTGGGGTTGTGGCTTAGTGGTAGAGTGCTTGCCTAGCATATGTGAGGCACTGGGTTCGATTCTCAGTACCACATTTAAGTATATAAAATGAAGGTCCATTGACAACTAAAAAATATTTTTAAAAAAATTTTTAAATTTTATAAAAGGCTAAAACTTTAGCTCAGAAGTAGAACGCTCTTGTGCTCAATTCCCAGTTCTGCAATAAATAAACAAATAATAAACTAAAATAAATTTTATTTCTCTTGCCAAGAGGCTAATAGCATAATTTGGGGTATTATAGATGGTTTTCTCCATCCCAGAAAAATCACAGAAGTCTCTGAAACAGTTTGGCTGACTCTGGATATCTTACCTCTATCCCCAACACTCTATTTCTTTTGCATTGTAAGCCTTAAAACCCACTAGTGTTGTTAATTTTGAAAGACCCCAGCTTTGGTCCAGCTCCTAATTTTGGACTCTATTCCATGGATTCATAATGGAAAAAAAAAGTAATTCCACAAGTTCAGAATCCTGACTAAAGAACTTAATGGGGGCACACCTAAGTCCTTGTATTAGACAAGGGACCTCTGAGGACATGGAGCCCACTCTGTATACCTCCAAATCAGAGCATGTCCTAATTTGGCTTTGGTGCTGTAGAACACACAGGGGACAGAGTTTGCATATACCCCTCCCCCTATACTGGTATTCATGAGTCTTGAGAAATAGTTACTATTTACTATCCAGAGTATTTAGAAACTAAATACCTCAAGATTCTTTCTCTTTCTTTCTACCTTTAGTCTCGAGTACTATTAACCAGCTTCTTGCTTTAATGAGGGGGCGTAGCAGTCCCCGGTACAACACCAGGCCCCTCAAAGACATAGACTATGGTGGTTAAGGCTGCAAGATTCCTGTACAATCTTATACAAGTTGATTCACCTCTCTGAGCTCATTCTCCTCCTCTGTAGCATGGAGATGATAATAGTATGTTTACTTTGTGGAATTGTTGAAACATGAGGTGAAATATATATATATATATATATATATATATATAGAGAGAGAGAGAGAGAGAGAGAGAGAGAGAGACTATGTGTGTTAATATAGAGACTATAAATTTATGAGACTTAAGAGACAATATGTATATATTATAAATGTATATAATCATCTCATATGTATATATTATACATATGAGATATTATATACACACATATAGTTATATGTATATATTATAGTATATTAGTATATTTATAAAATGAATATCATTTCACACCGTAACGTTTCTGTGACTGAGATGATCGTGTCTGTTGATGAATCTAATAATTTGCTTTCCAACACTCTCCCCAGAAGCTGTTATTAAATCAAGATGCATTCTCCAAATGAACGGTAGCTTTAAATAAATACACCAAAAAAATGTGGCACAGTGCTCTGCAAATATTAGGTGGCTGTCAGTTGTAGACTATTGTTTTCTAACATCTATATCAGGGACTCTGAAGCGCTAAGAGCTTGTCTGTAAAGAGAAGAAATGAATCAGAAATCATTCCACTTTCAAGAAAGCAGTAGGGAAATGAGCTGGAAGAAATGGGGCCAGGAACGTGATCGAAGGGGCTGCCAGAAAACTCCCTTGGCTGATTTCATCTGTCAGAAACACCTTGCTGAGCGCTCGCTCTGTGCCAGACACTGTCCTGAGCACCAGGGGGCCTATTGGGGTAGGAAGGCTGCCCTCCAGGAGGGCAGGTGAGTGGGAGCGATAAGGCACGTTGCAGTACCCCCACCTGATAAGACAGGAGCTGATTGGGTTGCACTGAGGGCTGCTGCCCCAGAAACCCGGGCGAAAGGTCCTTGGGCTAGTCGGGCCAGTCTCCGCGGGTTCCACCTGGCCCAGCCCCCACAGGGCTAGGCCTGGGGGCCCTAAGAGGAGGAGGCAGCCTCTCTGGCAGCTGTGGTGGCCAAGAACAAATATCCTGGAGAGGGGGCCAAGGCCTCAGGATGGAGACTGTCCAGCCCACGGAGGAAAAGTGGAAGGAGGTCACTGAGGTCCCTCGCCTCCAGGGACCTACCAGCAGCCAGCTTGCTTGCACGAGCTCACCTGCTCTTCTCTGTCCCTCCAGTAAGTGGCCTGCTCGCCAAGTCCCATCCTCGCCATGGCTCCCGGAGAGAAGATCAAAGCCAAAATCAAGAAGAATCTGCCCGTGAGAGGCCCTCAGGCACCCACCATCAAGGACCTGATGCGGTGGTACTGCCTCAACACCAACACCCACGGCTGCCGCCGCATCGTGGTGTCCCGCGGCCGCCTCCGTCGCCTCATCTGGATCGGGATCACGCTGATGGCGGTGGCCCTCATTATCTGGCAGTGCGCGCTCCTCGTGTGCTCTTTCTACACTGTCTCCGTCTCCATCAAGGTCCACTTCCAGAAGCTGGATTTCCCCGCTGTCACCATCTGCAACATGAACCCCTACAAGTAAGAGGCGCGAGCAGGGGTCAAGGCGTGGAGCTCATGACTCCCGCGGGTGCCAAAGCCCCTGCAGCCTGTAGATGTGCTTTTAGGAATTTGAATTCATTGGCAACATTGGTGAACTGCCCTCTCCAGTCGCTCCAAAGGTGTACCAAGGTTTCAGTCTATCCCCTACTTCTGGGGATGGGCTATCTCAGGGGAAGCAGATGGGGAGGTTGCAAGGATCAGCTTAGCTTGGAGGTTGGGTCTGGAATGAACTTGCACCCTCTGCCCTCCCCTCATAAACGCTGACACCAAACCCTTAGCTTAGCCACTCTTCCCAACTTTCCAAATCCACACCCTCCATCTCCACAAAATGTAAGCTCAAGGCTGACTCAGAAACTTCCAGAAGCATCCCGGCTCTGCTAAGCCTCATTTGAGTGAGCCCAGCCCCACAGGGCTTTGGGCTGGATCAGCCGTTGGTGCTACCCCATTGGCAGCTGCAGGACCTGTTCTAAATGGGCCATCAGAGTCCTTGGGATCATGGAACACTGACCTGCCAGCCGGGTCAGAATCCAGCAGAATTTTGTCAGGGTAGGGGTCGGGGGTGAAGAGAATGGAAGGGCAGGGGGAGATGATCATGATTACCAAAGAAGCAGACTTGGCCAGTCATCAACCGTCAGAAAAGCTCAAGATCCAGATCAGGTCTAAGACTTATTCTCTACCTCTTAAGTCTCTTTCTTTTCTTCCTCCCTCCCTTATCTCTTCCATTTCTCCCTTCTCCTTCCCTCTCTCCCTCCTTCCAGCCATGATTAGTTCCATAATTACTCAGCATCTAAAAATCGTCTAGCCTAGGTTCTGAGGCATAGAATTGAGCAACCTACGCACAGTCTTTGACCCCTTGGCTCATGCTGTAGTGCAAATATATCTACCCTATGCTAACTCATAATCACAACCATTAAATTATTTTTATGCATATGTGTGTTTCCTATGTACACAGCCAGTAAGAACCAGGATGGGAAATCTGAACTCAGGTAGTTAAGCTGTGGGACTGGTACTCTGAATCCCTGTGCTATGTTGCCTATGCACAGAGCAAGGAGGAGAGGAAAGAGAGGGGAGAGTTAAGGGAGAGGCTGGGAATATTTGGCAATGCGAAAAAAGTTTTAAATGGCTTCATCAGGCTGGCTGAAGACACTTGTCACTATTCCCCTGTGTTCTCAAGGGTTGTCAGGGTAACAGGCATGCCCTCCTCCCTCCCAGCTATGGTTGGAGGTCACGGGTTGGCAGAGGCAGGGTGTGTGGGGTGGAGATGGAGCCTGACCCCCTGGTTGGCAGATATTTGTTTGTCCTCACTGTGGCTGGATTAGGGGAGGTACCTGATGGTCACCACTCCAGAAATGCTGGTTGGGGACAAACTCATCAACACACCCCGAGAGCAAGCAGACAGTGGTGGCAGGGGTGAAGCCACAAGATGTCATGCAAGGGTCACCCATGTGCCTTTCCCTTTTGTGGGAGGCAACAGTGACTCAGGATGGAGCTAATGGGGAAGGCCACAGGGATGGGGGGGGGCGGAGGCTGGTGCGTCTTGATGGACCACAGCACGGAGCCGGGATGGCATTCTGCCGGAGGGGTTTGCCTTCTCTGATGGACACTACCTTCCCGTCCCTGGCAGGTACAGTGCCGTGCGTGACCTTCTGGCTGACCTGGACAAGGAGACCAGAGAGGCCTTGAAGTCCCTATTTGGCTTTTCAGAGGTGAACTCTCGGAAACGTCGGGAGGCAGAACCCTGGGAAGGCATCCAGCCCAAATTCCTCAACGTGGTCCCGCTGCTGGTCTTCAACAAGGAGGAGAGGGGCAAGGCCAGGGACTTCATCACGGGCCGGAAGCGGAAAGTGAGAGGGAAAATCATTCACAAGGCTTCCAACGTCGTGCATGTCCACGACTCCAAGGAGGTGGTGGGGTTCCAACTGGTAAGACTCGCTGGCTCGCAGTTTGGGGGCATGGAAGGTGCTGGGGCTGGTGGGCCCAGGGTCTCTTCTCCTAGGCCGTTTGCTCCTGGAGGACTCCTGGAAGAAATATACCCGGTGAGGGTGAGTGGGCTACCAGCGAGTGAATCTGACTCAGGCAATCCTAGAACACGGGGGAAATGTCCTAGGAGGTGACCCGTAGCTCATGGGGGCCTCCCAAATAGAGAGAAATGAGAGATGATTTGGGAATCTAGGTGGGAAGGAAGGATGAGATCATTTCAGAAACTGCTGCTGAATAAAAGAACTTACTTTCAGGCTTTTTATTACTGCTTAACATACAAATTCCATCCTGGGACCACCTGGTTGGCCATGCTTGGGTCACCCTGATGTCCTCTTGGCTAATAATGGAAGGCAGGACATCTTGAAGGATAATCTCACCAGACTGTATCAAAGGGGGGAAAGAAAATTCCTACAAAGCAAAATCAGAGTGCAAACACCCAAAGGGGAAAAAAATAGATAAGATCACTACAAAACACCAGTGTCCCGGTACTGCTCGTCTTCACGAGGTGCTGTGGCCGGATTGGTCACCTCCCTTTCTGGTCCCATTTGAGAGACTTTTTGGGAAGCATTAACTCACTGAAAATAAATTCCATCTCCATCTCACCCCGTGCTCCATCCACCGCTTGAGGACAGAGATGCTTCTATATTTTATAACCTGAATTGTTTGATACTTCCTTATCAAGAGGGTCAAATCCTGAAAAAAAAAATGGCCCCTATTCAAAAAAAAATCACTAAGATCATTCATAGGATAGTCATAAGATTCTCTTGGATATTCTAGTCAATTCCTTGATATCTATACTTTCCAAGCTCTGAAGAAAACACCAGGAATGTACCATGATTTCCTTATAAAGTCCTCATTATCGTATCATTCAGACGTGGGTCCTCTCCGCCACTCTGTGTGGTTGGTGAGGATGATAGTTCAGTCAATATTTTGTAAGTGGCAGAATGGATGCATAATGCCTCGCCTAAGATCCTGCAGAGAAGTAGTATCAGATTCTGGGCTAGAATCCAGGTTTCTAAACTGTTTATGTAGCAGGAAGCAGGATGGATTGTGTAGGAACTCAGAAGCATTTGAGCCAAACCCCAAATATCCAGGGAACCCTGTGGCAGACAGAAGTAGGGAGTCATAAGAGTGGGACTCAGTGTCCTTCTTCACTAACCTCTTTCCTATCCTGAAGGCCAGAAGTAAAGGGGGGAAGGGTACAGGGGGTTGAACTCAGGGGCACTCGACCACTGAGCCCCATCCCCAGCCCTATTTTGTATTTTGTTCAGAGACAGGGTCTCACTGAGTTGCTTAGCGCCTTGCTGTTGCTGAGGCTGGCTTTGAACCCGTGATCCTCCTGCCTCGGCCTCCTTAGCTGCTGGGATGACAGGCTTGCATCACCCTGCCTGGCAGGAAAACCATTCTTATCCCAGGCTTCTCTCCCGTTCCCCTGAGTATCTGACCCGAAGTTTCAATTACTCATCCTTACGGTCCTTCCAAAAGGTAGCAGATCTCCTGGTAATAGCCGGGCTTCTCCTCTTATTTACAGTGTTCCAACGACACCTCGGACTGTGCCACCTACACCTTCAGCTCGGGCATCAACGCCATCCAGGAGTGGTACAAGCTGCATTACATGAACATCATGGCCCAGGTGCCTCTGGAGAAGAAGATCAACATGAGCTACTCTGCAGAGGAGCTGCTGGTCACCTGCTTCTTTGACGGGATGTCCTGCAATGCCAGGTCAGCGGGGGAGGCAGTTCTCTCAGCCTCTGGATGCAGGCAGCTCTGAGCCAGGCTCCTTGCACGCACACAGGAGACGGTTCTAGAATCAGGGAGTTGAGTACATGGCATGGGCTCACACTAGCTTTAAACTCATGAAATTACTTATCATGACCTGGAGTGGTTGAGAGTGTGCGTGTATAACTTTGCATGTTATTAGGATGCGGACCAGTGTTGGAGAGCCAACGCTCTCCTACGGAGGAAGGAAGGGAGACAAGGAGGGAGGGAGGGAATAAAGAAAAGCCTGTGTTCACATTTGTGAGCCTTCCAACCTTTCCCCTTGGAAGATCACACTCAGATTCCTGGTGGTGACCGGGAGTAGATGGGACATTCTGAGGGGTCCTGCTTGTCCTATGGATTTGTCTCATTTTTTTTTTTTAACACTAAACCTCTGCCACATGTCTATATGTTAGGGGACATATTGGTCCCTGAAAAATACACAGAGTGATTGGAATGAGAGTTCTCTGAAGGATGGGTTCTTTATGTCCCATAAATCCCATAAATCCCATAAGGGATTTCTTCTCTGGGGAGCATTTCCTAGGATTGGGAATTTGAATGGAAAAAAAAAAAAGTGCACATGTTGGCTGAGAAATTCAAGAGTGGAGGAATTTTCAGCAAACATGGGACACAGGGACTGCCACATCAGAACAGAGAAGCTGGCTAAAGGGCTAAGGAGGAGCATGGAAACCGGAGTCTAACGAACCTGACTTGAGGGGTTCCCTTTAGCCGAGGAAACTCATGGGAAGGGGGTCGGGGGCTATCATCCATTGTTCTCAGAGAGAGGTGGCCCCATGAACATTGCCCTTCCAGACTTTAGCTGAGAGGCACACGGGGGAGTCCCCAGCCCAGCCCTTTCTGACCCATCTGCTCCATCTATAGGAACTTCACACTCTTCCACCATCCCATGTATGGGAATTGCTACACGTTCAACAACAGAGAAAACGAGAGCATCCTCAGCACCTCCATGGGGGGCAGTGAGTACGGTAAGGAGACCCCCAGGCCCCCTGACAGCGAGTGTGCTGGCAGCAGGATAACCCGGGGGTGCTGGGGCTTCCAGAAATACAGATCTCTCCACCTGGCCCCAAACCAGACACTAATTTCCCCATCCGTCCAGCATCTCCATCAGCACCCATGTTGCCTACTTTCTTCAATCTGGGTGTCTCTTGTCTTCTTCTTTTTTTTTTTTTTTTTTGACTTCTCTTCTTTACCCTTGAGAGAGGCACAAGGGTCACACCGCAGGCTTCCTGCTGCGGAGACGCCTTTCTGGTTTAAGCTTGTGGCTGGGGTGAGTAATGCCAGGCAGGTGGCTTCTCGATGGAGTTCAACCTGGAGGTGCTGAGTAGGAGATTAAGGAGGTAGACACGCCTTTATCTTAGTGAAGATGACAGATTCTGGAGCCAGAACCCAGCTCTGCCTCTCATTGTGTGACCTTGGGCACGTGACTGCCCTTCATCTGTAAAGTGAGACTAATGATAGTATCTCCCGCGGAGAAATCTGCTGCACATTCTCTGAATGTGCTCAGGCTACCCTAACAAGATGCTGTAGACCGGGTGGTTTGCACCACAGACATTTATTTCTCACAGTTCTGGAGGCTGGGGATTCCAAGATCACGCAAATCTGGTTTCTGGCAAGGCTTTGCTCCTCGGGTTGTAGATGGCTGTCTTCTGTCTGGATCCCCAGTGACCTTGCCTCTGTTGCAAGTGGAGAGAGTGCTATGATGTCTCTCCCTTGTCTTCAAAGAACCCCAACCCTCTCAGATTAGAGCCACACCCTTTTAGATGTCATTGGACCTTAATGAAGTCCTGTCTTCAAATACCCTCAGGTTGGGGGTTAAGGCTAAAGACCTATGAACTTGGGGAGGCAGGAGACCATTCAGCCATACACACACACCATATGCACAATAAATGCTAGCTGCTGTCATTACTTCCTAGTACCAAGACTACAAGACTACTGCCACCTATGCTGCCATTGCTCCTGCCAATACTACAATCTCTACTCCTTTTGTAGAAAAGTTAGGAACCCCAACTAGTTGGCCTGGCTTACCCACAAAAGGAATTATTGAAGGGTCCTGTGCAACATGATTTGATAAATAATGCGCCCACCAGGAAAGGCAAGATCCCGTCATACAGGAAGTCCACATTTGGAATCCAGACCTTTGTCATTGTATAATCTGTATTCTCACCCAGACTGCAAGAAACTCTGGTTCAGAGCACACAGTGGGATTCTGTGGATTCTTCCACCATCTTCAGAGGAAGAAGCTATCTGGGTACTGACCGTGGAGACGTGCAGAGTTCTGGCTCTGCTGCACAGGGCTTTGTGACCTCTAGCTGATCACTGTCTCTCTCTCTCTGGGCTTTTGTTCCTTTGTACATAAACAGAAGATGTCAGAATAACTCTTAAGTTATCTTCTTTCAGTTTGTGTATCCTCTGATGGACTCTGATCATACACTCATTCATTGACTGGTTTGATATCTGCTCTGCGCAAGGTGCTCCTCTAGGTAGCAGAGATGCAGCGGTGAACAAGACAGGTGCCCCCTCGGCCTTCTGAAGCAAGGGACAAGCACATACATAGACATTATCTGGTTGCAAGTACTAACGAGTGGAATGTGAAGAAGAAAGCAGAAAGGGGAAGACAGAGGAGCTGGGGTCAGGATGGGGTTTGAGGTGGAGAAGGAGGTTCAGGAAAGTCCTCGTGGAGAGGTCATCCTATTTAAGGATGAGAAGGTCCACACGAGAGAGAATTCCAGGGTCTAGCAAACACAAAGGCTCTGAGAATCAAATGAATGGGTTGTGTTTCTAGAAACAGAAATCAAAACCGGTGTGCTTGGAGCTGATTGAAGGGAAGAGTGACAGAGGACGAGGAGGGAGAGGTGGGTGGGCTCCCCTATCACAGCCTTGTCAGTCACAGTGGGTTGATTCTCTGGCACGCCTTGTATCCAGCTCCAGTGAGTTGCTCCTGGGGAGTGGGGGGTCTCAGGCCAGGGCGTGATCTGATCCGACTCCCAATTTCCATAGGTCCTTATGGCTACTGGGCGCAGAATAATAGATTGCAGAGAGCAAGGACAGGGACCAGGAGGGGAGTTAAGCCAACAATCATGCACCTGTTTTTGGTTCTCTCTTCCCTGGGTGATCCCCTGAGGGTGTCAGTCAGTAGCCATGGCTCTGCGTGTCCCTTTAGATGTCCAGCCAAACTTCTCATCTCAAGGGACCACGTGGATTGGTGTGCCTCAGTCAGAGCAGCTATTCCTTCATGCTCGGCAAGAACTTGTGCTGAGCAAGACTTGTGACAGTGATCCTGCGTTTGAGCCCCTACGTGGGGCTGAGCCCTGAGGACACAGCGGTGAGCAAGCCAGGCACAGCTCCTGCTCCCACACAGCTTCCGGTCTAGCTTCTGGTCTAGCCTGCCTCCCATCTAGCCTGCTGGGCCTTGGATTTGAGCCTACCAAACCACCGAGGGGGTCCGCTCCCCACCCCCAGGGAAGGCTTTATGGACTCTTGACCACAGAACCTTATCTTTTCAGGGCTGCAGGTCATCCTGTACATAAATGAAGAAGAGTACAACCCCTTCCTTGTGTCCTCCACGGGGGCCAAGGTGCTCATCCATCGGCAGGATGAATATCCCTTCATTGAAGACGTGGGAACCGAGATCGAGACCGCAATGTCAACCTCCATTGGAATGCATCTGGTAAGAGACTACTCCGAGTTCCACATACTTGGGGAGGAGGACAGCTTTTTTGCAAGGGTAACCCACGTGAGGCACAGCTTATGGAAAAAGGGTGCTTATTTCAAAGGGAGCGTGGTTCTGTATTTTCTAGTGGTCACCCCGACGGTCATTCTGGTAGATACACAGAGGTTCTCTTTGCATCTTCTCTAGGGATGAACAAGGCAGGATGTCATTTTAAGAATTTAAGGAACCTCCCTTGTTCCCTCCAACCCCCTCCCCCCAAAGCCCTAGCATTTATGGAACTTGATAGAAGCAAAGTGCCAGACACTAATTATATATTTGTCAATTATACAAATAGAGCAGATTAACATCCTCCTTTCTAGGAGTCTAGAACCTGTGAGGGCATGAAAACAACTATTTAAAGACCAGTTAAAAGCCACTGGGCTATTCAAATTCTGTTTCAGCCCCTCAGACTCCCATCGATTTAACCTTTATCTAGAATCCCTTCTTTCTCCAAGTCTGTGACCTCTGACCTCACTGAGTGCTGAGAATACTCAATGCAGGGGCACTTAACCACTGAGCCACATCCCCAGCCCTTTATATATATATATATATTTTTTTTTTTTTTATTTTTTTTATTTTGAGACACTCTCCAAACAGGGTGGAGACACACTGATTTAAAACCCTCTAAATCCTGGAGAATGAATTGCAACAAAGCTCAACACTATCAATACGAGCACATCTGGGCTGAGGAGTCCAACCAACATGATTTATTATTCAACTGTTTTTTTTTTTTTTTTTTTTTTTTTAGTACCAGGGATTGAAAGCAGGGGCACTTAACCACTGAGCCACATCCCCAGCCCTTTATATTTTGAGACAAGGTCTTTACAAAGTCGCTTAGGGCCTCTGTAAGTTGCTAAAGCTGCCCTTTAACTTGTGGTCCTCCTGCCTCAGCCTCCCAAGCCACTGGGATTACAGGCATGCACCACCACACACCCACCCTATTATTCAACTTTTAATCTTTTCTAATCTGTCAAGGAAAAAAAAAACAGCATCCATTATAATTTTACTTTTCATTTCTTCTTGGTGGTATTTTAACATTTGTGGGAGGGGAAAAAAATCCCTCAAGCATTTTCTCTGTGGACTCTTCATTCATGCCTTGATTTGTATCTGAACTTAATGTGCCATGTTAAACTTCCTAGCCTTCATCCCTCACAAATTTTTCCTCCAGAGCAATGGTTTCCAAACCCAGTAGCTCACGAGGCTCACATCTGCTAAACCAGAATCTCTGGGAGACAAGCACAAGGATCTATATTGGCTTCAAACTCCAGTAAAAGTGAAGCCAAAGCTATGCCACCTTGCTCAGCTGTGGATGGCTCTGGATTGGGTTCTGAAGCAATATGGCGGGCATTGGGGGCTCAGATAGCCATCCATCACTACCCATTCAACAGTTATTATTTCTGAGTGTTTCCCATGTGCTAGATACTAGGAGATCCTCAGGATGGCTGTCTGGTAGGGCAGATGCTCCCAGAGGCATGTCATGGAGGAACTTTGTTTTAATGCGGGAGAGAAGTTATGTACCGGCTTGGGCTGTGTGGATGCTGATTTCCTAAAGGGAAAAATGTCCTGAGCCCCCCAACCTGCTCAGACTGGGACTCCAAAAGACTTCTAAAGACAGACCACCAATACCTCTGTTCACTGGGAAGTCATGAAATTCCCAGAAGACAACAGTGATGTTTTGATGCCTGGTTTCCCATAGTGTCTCATCTGCACTGGGAAGAAGGACCTGGGTTTTTTTGTTTGTTTGTTTGGTGGGGGAAGTGGGTACCAGGGGTTGAACTCAGGAGCACTCAACCACTGAGCCACATCCTCAGCCCTATTTTATATTTTTTAGAGACAGGGTCTCACTGAGTTGCTTGGAGCCTTGCTTTTGCTGAGGCTGGTTTTGAATTCGCGATCCTCCTGCCTCAGTAGCTGAGGCAGGACCTGGGTTTTGCAGCCCATCCACCCCTTACCCTTCTGCCCTCTCCCTGCCGTCTACCTCTCGAAGCATCTGAGAGTAGAGCTTGCAAAAGTTCAAGAATGAGCGAATTCTTCCCTCTGACTTTTTGCTCTGAACTTGGACATCCCTACCCACATTGTTGAGCAAATATTGCCTTCACGAATGGCGAGTAAACAGACCCGGGCGAGATTTCTGCCACACCAATTTGGGATGTAGAGAATCAAAGCCACAGAGCAGGGTCAGTCAGCTCTAGATGTGATTTATGAGCATGTAGAACAACAACAACCAAAAAAAGCAGGGATTACTAAGGGGTCAGCAGAGGGTCACTAAGAACAAGTCCAAACAAACTAGACTTCCTTCCAATTTTTTGTATTGCTTTAACTTTTATTTATTTATTTATTTTTGATAGGCATGTTAAGCTGTTAGGCATAGTCATAAGTCGGTTAACCTTCCTTATTTCATGGGGCGGTGTGTTCAAAGCACTGCATATTCAAAGATGAACACAGCAAGCTCCTTCCTTCCAACAGCTTGCCTTTCAGAGGGGAAGATAAAAAACACACGTTTGCAAAATAGTTCTTGTCTCTGTGGAAACAAAGACTTTGTACTCAGTTTTTACAACATAGTATATCCTCATTAATATTGGATGGATGGATGGATGGATGGATGGATGGATGGATGGATAGGTGGATAGGTGGATGGATGATTAGACAGAAACTATCAGAGAAAGCTTCCTAAATGATGAATTCTTGAGGGACAAGTATCAGGCAAATAATGCCAGGAAGAGCGAGCCTAGACAAAGGGCACAGCAAGTATAAAAGGGCCAGAGAAAGGATGCAAAGCCATGTACTAAAATTTTTGGAAAAACCCACTTTGGTTGAAATGTAATCAATACACTGGAGGCAGCACATTTATAGGAATTCTATCAAGAAATGATGAAGTGCTGGGGCAGTGGCTATGGGTATGAATATCAGGGTTTGAAAAGTTGTTATCAAACAGAGTCAGGGGAAGTCAGATGGACTTTTAAGTCCTGGTGTGGGCAGCGAAGTGGATGTCAGGCTCAGAGTTAGGGAGTCCAAGAAGGGAGAGATGGTGACCACTTCAGTTTAGGTCACACCCAATTTGTCGTGCCTTTGGGAAAACAAGATGAAAATAAAATGTCCAGTAATTCGATGCTGTGAACCTGGAACTCAGGAGAAAAATCTGGGACTTTCTAGAAAATTCTAGACTTTTAAATATAGACCATCACCCAAGACCCCAAACAGCCCTCAACACGCAAATGTGGAAGAGCTGAGCAGAAAGAAGAGAGAAATCGAGGCAGAGAATTAGCATCAGAAGCCCCAAAAGAGTTGGCATCAGAAAAATCAAGGAAGGGGAATTCAAGGAAGGTCTGACCACAGTGCCAACTGTGGTTGAGAGGTCAAGCAAGATCAAGGGCAAAAGGTGTTCTCCAGGTTTGGCAATCAAGAGATCGCTGGTATTCTTTGTCAGAGAGGTTTTCAGTGGAAGGAGTGGAACAGAAACCAAAGGACAATGGGTTGAATGGTAAATGGGAGATGAGGAAGTGAGCAGGGGTGGGCTGGTCACTCTAGGGGGTGGGGTCCAGGTTCAGAGAAGAGGGCGGTTCCTCTGTCCTTGCAAACCCAACAGTGCATTTCTATCTTACACCTCAGCTGTGTGCTTTGGTCATGTAATCTCTATGCCTTAGTTACCTCATCTGTAAAATGGGGACGCTTCATGGCTAGTGAGAATTCAGTTGATGCATGTGAAGCACTTAGGAAAGTGGTTGGCATGTAGTAAGTGCTCAGAGATTACTGGTTCTCTCTCTCTCTCTCTCTCTCTCTCTCTCTCTCTCTCTCTCTTGAGGAAAGCAATGTGAAGGGAAGGGGGAAATGTTTGAAGGGAACTAAAAGAGGAATTAGGGAAATTTTTTCTTTTTTTCCCTTTTTTCTTTGCAGTATGTCACTGAGTTACATTCCCAGCCCCTGTCTTTTCTGGTACCTTTTTTCCCCCCTATACTGGAGATTGAACCCAAGGACACTGTATCAGCAAGCTACATCCCTAGCACTTTTTAAAAATTAATTATTTTGAGCAAGGTCTTGCCAAGTTGCTGAGGCTGGCTTTGAACCTGTGATCCCCCTGCCTAAGCTTCCCAGGTCGCTGGGATTACAGGCAGAGCTGCCGTGCCCAACCTCATGGACCTGTCTTTTTTGAATTGGAGATATATATAAATAAAATGTATAAATAATCTATATTTGCCATATGCATTAAAAATATTTCCCAATTTGAGTTTCCTTTTTTAGTTTTCTTTAAAGGTTTTTTTTTTTCTTTTGGTGATACTAGGGATTGAACCCAGGACCTTGTGCATGCTAGGCAAGCACTCTATCAACTGAGCTATATCCCCAGCCCCCTAGAGGGTTTTTTTTTAATTATATGCAAAATTCAAGTGTTTACATAGTCCAAGTCTTTGTTTTCTTCTTTTATTATTATGTTTATTGAGGAATTTTTTTTCCCTTTTAGAGGTCAGATACTAAAATAAGTTTTCTTCTAGTTATTTTGTTACTTCATTTAATACTTTAGCCCATTAGATTTCTTTTCTGCAAGGTGTGACGTAGAGATCGAATTTAATTCTTTCTCCTAATCGCTAAGAATTTAATTCTTTCTCCTAATCGCTATGTCCTAACTTCATTTATTTGTAATTCCTTTTTTATCCTCACCATAGATCAGGAGTGCAAACTTTATCATACACAAATGACATCTATAATGTGTCATAAAACAAAAGAAAAAATACTATCTCACCATAACCCCATGTAGGGCCAAGTCTTTCCAGTCTCTTCTAATTTTTAAAATGTATTCGTTTTTGTTTTGTTATGAAAATGGAAATCTGCTGAGCATACCCCTCTGTAATCTGCCAGTTTCCTCCTTCAAAATATATCAGTGACATATTTCCATGGCATTGAGTCATCTTTCACAGTCCCAGTTGTGATGGCAATGTTCAATTTTGTTCTCCAAATGTAGAGTT